GTGTCTGTGGGGCATGTTCAAGCACCTTACATGTTAGTTTCCCCACTTGAATACACTGCAATAAGGAAAAACTCTAAATAATGCCAAGGTCACAGATCCTGAACTACAGAATTCATGGAAGGCTTCACTGTGATCTTTCAGTTCATAATGGACTAAGACAGGATGTGATACAAAATTCATTTTGACACCATGAAATAGAATGCACATGGGGGTGAGGGGGGGGGAACCCAAAAAGGCATCAGACTGAGAAGTATGCAGCACCACAACATACTTCTCATGCTGGATTCACAGCAGTGAGAAATGGAGACACACTGATGTGTGTTTGCTGTTCACATCATCCCATGTGCTGGGCCTGACATGGGATGTGAAGGCTCAGAGCCTGAGAGGTCACTATTGCATTGACTGATCGTTAAAGCATGGCTGCCTTATTCTAGGAGCCTTATTCTAAACTCCAGGAGCTCGGAGAGGCTGTGCCAGCAAATACTTGAAGTTGGACCTTTGGTCTTCGGAAGATATGCTTTTGTCTTTGGTTGTTTTTCTCGAGCGCCTATCGTTTTGTTAGGTGCCTTCCACACTTTCCATCCCACCTTGTTGCTTATAGGCTATAAAGTTTTTTACTCCTGTAATCAGATCAGCTAACAACCCACTGAACTTACTTCATTGAATGCAGGACCTATTCAAAGGGCAGTCAGGGGTCAAGAATGTTTTGATAGTATAATTGAAAGTTCTTTTCAAGTATGGAGCTTCCAGTACCCTTTCATAGGAGGGAAGAAATCAGAAACCCTTAACGAAGGCAATAGAGTTGAAGAAAGGTAACTTTCCTCATGTGATGTCTCTGAAAACCAAAACCAGCAAAAACAAGCAGGACGTTCTGAGCACAGATACTGGGGAAATTGACTTCACAGTCTCTGTCTCAAAGCTGACCTATGACTGTCTCATTCCTGTGGCAGGTATAATGGTCTGCAGGACGCTGGCGGTAGCTTCACCCCAGACCTGTTCCCATTTCTTCTTCTTCTTTTCAAGGCTTCCTTTTCCTTACATGGAATAGCTCAATACATATTCCTCCAAAAATAACTATCTCAAAGGGATTTCCTAACTGATGGGTGGATCAGATTCATATAAGAAGGTCAGGACCTTGTTTTAAAATCACACACTTCTATGACAAAAGGACATGTCAGATGTAGGTCCTTACACTGCACTTAGGCCCTTTTCCACCCGATGTGGGAATTTCTACCGGTGGTCCCTGCATTTGCTACTGTGGGCAGTTTATCAAAGCTCCTTGGGGGTTGGTGAGGGGGTCGGGAGCTGACGCTCTCCTTCACCAGCCAGTTAGTTACGGGGTTTCCTCTGCTTTCTTCAGTTTGAAAATGTAGGTAAGGGTTTGATGCCTGACCATAAGTTATGACCCAAATCTTAAAAGAACTTCTAAGTCCTTTAAGGATTTCTGCTAGCTTTTTCAGGGGCCCTGCAGATGCAGCACCCTTTCCTAATAGTGAGGTACAGATGCGAAGAAATCCATGTGATCCCACAGAAAGAAGAGCGGATGACGGGGGAGGGGAGACAGTCCCACTGGCAGTGGTCCAAGGCTGCTCTAGTCACTGAAAAGTCAAAACAGGGAACACCTCCGTGATTTACAGAGAGAAAAACTTCTGAATTTCTACCCATGGCATCTGCTCCTCCAACTTTCCACTAAAACTCTGTCAACTGCTAGACTACACTGAGTTTGCTCCTGTATCAGCTTTAACTGTTCTCAGCCATGCTGACTGGTGTATTTTTACACAGCAATCTGATAACAGCACGTTGTTTCATATCTGAGCTACAATGAAAAAATATCAAGTGTTTTGGTAGATGGAAACTTACAAGGATTTCCTATTCATTTCTTTTGGATTTTCTTGTCCACTGCAAATAATGTGGCACCTTGCCAAAAATCCACCCTCCCCACCAGACATATACACCCTCACATCTCCAAGGAAAGAAATCTTACTGTCTGGAAGATTCGGTGTTGACCATCATGTTATTCATTCAGTTTCTATTTCCAAAGTTAGTACTAAGTCAAAGACTATAAAAATGATTGCAGATCAGACGTTGGTGGGTGCCATCTTAAAGATATCTTTAGTGGAGGCATAATCTCGACCTCATCTCAGAACACATCATCGAACCAACTTTAGAGAAACCTTTGACTTGTGCTCACTAGGCCCCGAGGGAGGGGAGTTGGGGCTGGCAGTATGAGGGCCCTGAAATTCTTAGTAGCATTTTAAATGTTCGCAGATGGGCTATGTGCATTTGAGAGAGAGAGAGAGAGAGAGAGAGAGAGAGAGAGAGAGTCTGTTGCTTTCCTAAGCTTCTTTCTCAAAGGAGCTCATGTCCCCTCAAATGATTAGGAACCTGCTTCTGAATGTCAAATATGAAATTCAGGTTTTAGCATGAAAGTGAAAAATTTCTGAAACATCTGGGAATGACAACATTTTCATGTTCAGCTGGATCTTGACTAGACTATGGGTCACCTGAAAGCTGTACTATTCTGATCTCCCTAGTCTGCAGTGTTTATTTCTCAGGAAATCATTTAAGTTATAAAACTAAGAATCAAAACTGAATAAAGTAGCCTCATATTTGGGTCCCTAACAAGTTCTTATCTTTTCAACACATTTAGTAATGAATTTCTTTGTGAAATATCAAAGTTAAATCCTGCCCATGTAATTTACAAAAGTGATCACTGATCATGCAATATTCAAACAGGAGCATCGTTGGTCTGTTTTTACACATGAAAACCAAGGAGATGAGGAGGAAGAGTACTATAGAATTTAGACAGAGAAGAAACATTTTCCACAGAAATTCTCAAGTTTAAAAACTTGGCATTCAAATTTTTTATAAGAAAGCTATTTTCAAAGATTTAAATCTTAGATTAAAACTTTCCTCTTAGAGAGTAAGAATTCGGTTCAAATTTACAAAATTTGAATGTGGGAAAGTATGCTACTTTAAATTTATAAGTGTACACAACATGTTTAGCTCTTTGTTTTGTTTTTATGTCTGTTAGCTTTAGATTTTTCTCTTGGCACACTCAAGGTCGCTTTTTCAAAATGTGGGCTCTATGCCAATAAACAGAGATGAGCTAATTCCGAAGGCCGCCACTGTATCTGAACAGGGCCTACTTCACAAAGGGCTGACATGCACCCGTAGTGCACAAAGACACACGAATATGCACTTGACGCCAAAGGCATTCTATTGCTAGGAATACATAATACACAAATCTCGGCTTTATGCATTTGCTTAGGAACCCACAATTTTCCAATATGTATTCACAGACCACATCTCTACCCTAGGCAAGCTGTTATAGTGCACTCCTGTCAGATGGAATATATGAAAACAATACAGAAATTAACTGTGGCAGGTGCATTGATAAGCCTCCAGACTCAGGATTTCTTTTTTTAAGTTGCAGCACAGAAAGCAGTAGAGAACTCACTGAGAGGTGAAAGCATAAAGATCCTTCTGAAGGTAACTTCTCAAAGGCTCTGTGAAGGCCATTGGAAACTCCCAAAATTCAAAGGAGATGGTTACTGACCAAAAAAATAAAATAATGCTCAGGTCATCGTAATTGGCAGCTCTGGTACTGGAACTGATCCCAGAATCTACTTTCTAGATGGGTGATGGGTGGGGTGGAGGGGGCATCTCCTGAAATGGTCTTTATTAGCTAGTATGGTGCATGTCAGAAATGGTTGCAGCCTCAGGGGCAGTGATGTGGCCTCACAGGTATTGGGTGCCTGCAGTTCCCTCAGATGTTTTGAGGAAGGGGGAAGGAGAAGCATCACTCTGGTTAAAAGCAACTCAGGACCAGGATAAAGGAAGGGGCATCTCCTTGCTATGCCTGGAACTGCCCTAGGAAGACAAAGGAGCCCTTGGCAGACACCAAGGCTAGTGGAATTGAAAACTGGCAGATGAATGCCCTTCACTGAAAAAAGAAACTATACGAGTACAGGAGCCTCTCTACACAGGAAAAACGTATTTCCAGCATGATTTTCAAACAAACTCAGTGAGTGCCTCCTCCTCAACCATATGGAAAAGGTTTGGGGACCAGCACCCTACTAAGCTACTTAAATTACAGTGACTTAGGACTTAATTATGCTATAGGATGGGATAAGAGCTTTAATCCCGAACATTAAACATTACATTAAATGGTTTCAAGCAACGACCTGCTTTGATCTCTGCTCATCCACGCAAGGATTATACAATCTCAATGCCCTGCATTCCTAATGTTTACCGAAAGCACTGGTAAGCTTCCCATTGAAATGGATCCCTTACATTTATAGAGAAATGTAACCTTCCCCCTTCCATACTACATTACAGCAGAGCTTACTTTTGAGGCAGGAGCCTAGAAACTCCAAATTGTGCACCAGACCCTTAATCATCTGGTGGCAGAAACCATAACGATGCTCCGGCCACCAGGATCCTCACTGACAGTTAAGAGGACCTTAAGCTATGAGTCCAGAGAGCAATTGTGAAGATCCACCACAGAAAAAGACAAAAACAAAACAAAAAAACCAACACACAACACAGAGTCAAATGGTCTATAAAATGGTTCAGGTAACCCCATTTCGCAGATAATTTTTGTTTTTCATCTATTTTTTCTCACTTGGGCAGAAGATGGAGGCAGTGAGTGGAGGGAGCAACAAGGCAGCCAGCCCATAGCTCGCTGAGGGGTGACTTGCAATGGATGAAAGAAGCAGCAGGAACACCCAGACATAACCTCAAAACATTTCCTTATTGCTTTTTTTTTTTTAAAAAAAACCTCTGAGAGGCTTGATAGAATGAATCAAAGAATGAAGCTCTGATGAAAGTGATATTCTACACATCAAATCTCTATCTGTGTGTGCCAGTGTAGTACATATGCATATCTGCATATATCTGCCCATGGAGCACACAAACTTACTCAGGGGAAACAGCCTGGATATTAAATTGGAACTCAAATGACATGGTTACACATAGATCATAGTTTCTAAACACAATGTTAGTAAAACAGAATTTATTTGTAAAACAGGACCTGTTATATAAAATGGCACACAATCGAGTTATACAAAAATACAAAATTTCTTTCTGATTACAGTTCTAGTTGCGAGAGAGAATTAGAAAGCATTCCTGGCGGTTTCCAAATAGTTGAGATTGCGAGCATTTGGAACAGGGAGCAGCAAGGGTCCATGATGTTGGGATGTCCGAGCGAGCAGAACCCAATTTCCAAATTCAAGCCTTCCATCAGGTCACTCTGGAGGGACACCTCCTAAAACAGCTAGCTCCTCGAATGTCTTCTGTTTTGATACCCATCTTCCAGATTTTTGCCAATCATAAATTTAGCTCCCAATGTTCCTTAATGTCCCAAATCTGTGTGGCTATGACACAGAAGGTATTCTGAATTTTCTTAGATGATTTGCTCTCTCACCTATTTGGATAATTTTTTGTTAGTTACATAATTATATTTATTCCTTTTTGCTGATATAAAATAGTACAATGATACAGTTTGTCAATGTTAGATGTTAACTTCTGGAGAATTATTGTTTCAAAATAGCGACTCTCACATGTTGGTTTCCCAGATCTTGCCAAGACATGAGCTCCTAACTGTGTGTTTTCTTTTTTTAATAAAATTTCTGATTCTTATTGCAAATATTCTGAAAAAATCAGAAATATTAAATGAGCTTTTAAAAAGAAACCAAGGCATTTTAGCAAATTTTAGCCTAGCTAAAGAATACAGATACTTAAAGAAAAAAATAAAATTTACCTTTTGCAGCAATTTAAAGGTCCAACCCTTTGAAAGGAAGCACATTAGCAAACAGTTGCTTATTAATCCCTACTGACATTAATTGTATGCATTTCCATAATACCGGTCCAATTCACTGTCTAATTCTGGTAGGAGACAATGCTTTCTTTCAAAAGATTCTCCTTCCATGGAATGATAAAATGCTGAGGCTTTTCTTTTTCTGTACAGAGCCTGTATTTAGTGCAATAAGTTTAAAAAATATGCTCTGAAATATTTACTTTACATTAACAAAAATAGCCTTTTTTAAAAAAATTGTAACAAAAAGGAGTTATCGCATAAACAGATCATGAATCATTCTTAGCAAATTACACTTTTTTTTTCTTAAAGCATTCACCATTACAATAAGCAGAACAATGGAATATTAGCCATTCATATCTGGTAAGCTTCAGGAATAGAAGAATCAAACAAACCAACCAACAAACAAAACCCCATAACCCAGCCCCAAACAAACAAACAAACAAACAAACAAACAAAAACGTTCAACACTTGAGGATCAGAACATTAACCAATTCTTCAGTTAAACATTGTAGATTTCTGGATGCTTCATGAATTGCCAAGGAGAGGAGCACCCTCCATTCCGTTTTCCAAGTTTATAGCATTTGTATAAAATGCCTATTTAGCCCTAAACCATTGGAATGGCCAATGCTTTGTGTTCAGTGTTTCTCTCCCTTCACTATCCCTCCCAGCATTACTTAATCTGCAAATCAATACACAGAAATTTGGAGGCTACATAAACTCATTGGGTGCTCCAGCTTCCTCTCAAATCAGGCACAAAATGTGTGAAAGATGCTATTATAGTAAAAAAAAGAAAGACAAATCATAAGAAAAAAATTTGCATAAGAAAGATCATCTATCCTTTTCTTTTTCACCTACTCTCCTATAGAAGCATTAGGGTAAACTACAAATACCTGAGGAGTTGGTTACTTTTTAATGTTGGCTGACAAATGCACGAGCGATTATGAAACTTCCCATAGTGGGTCCTCTTGTGTGTTTCTCAAAGTAAAATGACATGGCTTCTTTGATTGGGGAAAACTGGAGTAATTCCTTATTTCTCTGAAAGCATACACCTAGTCTGGTCCCACTAGGACTTATTCATCAGGAAAATAAGATCTTGATTTTATGCATGTGTCAGGGAAATCACCCCTGAATAAACTTTAGACAGAGAATTCGGTACAATAATTTTACCTAATTTAAATAACGAAAGTTAAAATCTCCTCTAAGTTATCAAAAATGTGAATCAGATATGAATCTTAACATTTCCATTAAGACAATTACAATTGAAAACATTAAATGACGGCAGTTGCCTTGTAAAAGCCACCCGTATGAAAGGAGTACATGTTCGACAAAAATAAGCATAAAAAAGGTATTAAATCCCTGTTCCTTTTCTCTGATTTTGGCTGATTATGTGTGTGTGTGTGTATACATATACTTACACACATACATATACATATACACACACACACCCACACACACACACACACACATACACATAGTTATGTGTATATATTGGTTTGGAATGTCAATGGGTTCCATAACGGTCGGCTAGGTTCAAGCGGAACTTGCTCCCGAGGCCTAGAAAACAAAGTCACACAGAGTATCATCTTAGACAATTACCGTTAGAAGGAGATCATGAACGATGTTACAAATGCATAGATGGTCACAAACAGCAACAAAGCAAAAGGAGCTGAGAATCCTTCTCCCCTGAGCCTATATTCCAGGGGCTGTGATGCGATTGCATGCTGGAAACCACACCACTGTTGGGGAAAATCTCGGAGCTCTGCAGCCTCTCTGGCCTACGCTGCTAGAGCGCCCGGGTTTTCTCTCTCTCTTTCCTCTGTAGATGCTTTCCTGCAGATGACCAGATGTCTCTTGCTTAAACCTCTATATCACATTTGGTAAATTTTCCTAAAATCATTTTCAAAGATTTAGAGAGAGAGACCTCACAAACCTTCCAAGCTTTCTTCACTAGCAGGATCTCTCAAAAAAAAAAAAAAAGTCCAAGAGGAAAACTGGGAGTACTTATATATCCAGTTCAATGATCCTCTGTCAAAAGGAAAATTTTAAACCTCATTTTTTTTCTGAACATTATTTTATAGGCTAAAAATAAACCCTAAATTAAAATATCCCATAAGGAGGGAGGTAGACTGTAAACTCAAACAGTAGCATTTCTACAAATATGACGAACTAGGTATGCCAGCATTCAAGAACTCTCATCTAAGGGAATAACAAATACAAAGAAGTATACTCAATTCTACCAGTCCCCAAACTTCAGGGGGGAATTTCTCAGCTAGTTCTTTAGGGACACATGCAAGATGGTGGTGGTAGTAGGGGGTCCACTCTTACCATGCAAACTGTGGAAAAGAGATAAGAATGAGAGGTACTGATGGGGTTAAAGACTTTAACGACCCTGTGAGCACCATCTCACACTTCTCTCCTGAGGAGTTTTTTTTGCCACTTAAACCATCATTCTTAGGGACCAAATACTATAATGTTCAAAGCACCAGAAGAACAATGCACGTAAAAGATGTATTTGGGGACTTGCCATTAATTGCAAGCAATGAACTGATGAACAACAACAAAATAAAAGCAAAACCTGAATGAAGATTTGAATGCATTGTTTGAGTTAAGTGTCATTAATTTAAAACTGAAAGCAATTATAGGGGGAAAAACATTTCTCAATTTTTGGCTTCTGGTAGAATGCCACATAACCTAGTATTATTAATTATGAATAAGGGGTTAGGTAAACTTGCATTCTGGTCTACCACAATCCTTCTATCTTTCCCTCAAGAATACGGAACTACATGCCAATCAATTACATGGTCAATCTAGCTAGTCCCAAACCTCCAAATATTTCTCCCTTTCTTTAAATGCTTATCACTGCACAATAATTGAATGGAAACTTCAACCACTGGGAAGACAGAGGAGGGGGGGAAGGATGGTTTACATTTTAAGATTTTCTACACCTTTTTTAAGTCTTAGGCTTGGAACCTTATTTCCTGAGTAATTAGGACAGCCAAGCAATGGTAAGAAAGAAGTCTTCCTCACTTTTCCATGCCACCATAGGGCTGGCACAATCTTCACTGCCCTCCCCCTCGGTCTGCTTCGTGAAGTAAGAGGGGTACAGAGAGAAGGGCTAGGGAGGCAAGGCACCTGACTGGCGGGATTGCTGGTTGGCGTCTCTTGCCCACTCAATCCAGTTCCGGCTAATGCACACTTTAAAGTAATAGCTATATAACCACTGGCTACATCCTTTTACTTATGATCAGAGTGATCTGTGCCGTGGGAATCTAAACATTGAAATTATGCTTCATAACCATCAAAGCTATTAAGAACATATCAAAATAGGTACTGGAAGGGATTCAGAGAAAAGTGTTTATATCTAAATATTCTGCTGAGACTTTTATTTAGGTTGAATATGTGATTATTTTCCATATATACATATATAGCTTCCTCCACTCCCCTTAAATGAACCCACTTCCTTTACTCTTACATATTTAAATGGGCTTGTTTTATATTACATAGTTCTTACATTGGAAAACTATGAATCAATCCATTTATTAAAGTATAAAGAAGAAAAGAGAGACTTTACCTCACATTTTTGGATACTATATGCAATTAGAAGGCAGATTATTTAAAATTAATTGTTTAAGGCAATTATATAATATTTGAAATAAACATGCTATTTAAGAACAACACATTTGTAAAATATGTAGTAATTAGACGAATATATGCTAGAGACATCTGTTGTTATGCAGCAGTGAGAACATCTATCAGCTTAGGAGTCTCCTTACAATGATTAACTTTAAGGTGCTTTCCCCCGCTCCCCCCCGAAATGATAGTAGAATGTCTGTATCACTGACCAGAGAGGTAACTTATCCTTCCCACAATTGAGCTGAGGTTGGAGAAGACCAGGTTGTCTTATTGAGTGGAAAATGTGGGTGTTGATGAAAAAAGACTTGTTTGCTACTGAAAAATAGCTTTAGAAACAAAGAAAGTACAATCCAGGCAACAGAAGAAAAAAGTCAGCCAAGGGGAAAAGAGAGAAACATAAACAAACCAATATTAAAAAATGGGGGAGTATGGATTTTAGCAAGTTGAAAGGAACTGCTCTTATCACCTTCCAAAATGACAAAACTCAAACCATCAGTTCGAGTGCACAACCAAATGTTCAGTCCAATGAAAACTAACCACTGACAGTTACAAAGGAAATTTAAAAAAACAAAACCAGAAACAGCAATTTCACCTTAGGGACAAGACTATGCCCTACCCTGCCACGACCACTCTTCATTGTGACAATGCTGTGTTTGTTCCTTTCAGCTTACTTGTACAGAAGGCAGTCTCAGGCGTGACAAGAATTCTGCCATCCAAGTGATGGGTAGACACACAAACAGAAAGAGCAGCATGTCCTGTGTGATACAGACAACAAACGCTTCTCCCGAGGAGGCGCAGTCGGTGAAGACAGAGAGAGAGAGGAAGTGAAAGTGAAACTCGGGGAGGGCGGCTACCTCCTCATCTCCACCTACCATCGGTTTCAGCTCTCTGGCATCAGCAGCGCCTCCCTTCCCAGCTTCCTTCATTGCTTTCCTACTGTTTTCCACAAACTCCTGCAAAATAGGGACCAAATGGCAAAATTCTTAGGTCCTTTCACATTCTAAAGAACATTCACATTTTTGACTCAATACTGGTCAATGGAGGCCCTAAAACCATAGCCATCAATAATAGTAGCAGACATAAGAGCTGCAAAGTGTGTGGGGATGAACTGCAGTCTGTTGATAGGTAATATATTTTTCCATCCATTCATTGTGTCAAGCTCACTTATGAGAGGTAATGTTAGTTCTAGCCCAAAGAGAAAATACCTAACTTAAAAAAAACCCCAGACTATTTCCCCATAGGGAGAATTTGTTTTATTTGTTGATTTACTTTTTCCATATCATGGTTAAATGGAATAGCAAAAACATTTTACTTCATAAGCCTCCTCTTTAAAATAAGCCTAGATGCTAAAAGAAAGCACTGATACTATAAGCACAGAATAATGTTTTTATCAAATCGTAAATAAGCTACTTTAAGAAAAGTCTACCTGGGCTTGGAATTACTCCATAAAGCAGGAAAACGGTGCAACCACCAGAGCCCGTGGTCAGAAGTACCTGAGACGGGATTGGCCCCCAAGAAAACGTTCCTCTCCTGTCAAAGCACTTTGTTAAATACCCTCCTCAATCTTACAGAGAAAACTAAAAGGAGAAAAACTGTCTTTTTTGCTCTGCTTTGATCAGTGGCTGAAAAACAAAAATAAACACTTCTCCTAAATGCTATAGTCACAAAAGAGATGCAATTATCATGGGCCAAATTCCACTTTGAAAATGTCCAAAATTTAGTTGATGATGTGCTCGGTAAAAGAGATAATCAGTACCAAATAGGTCAGTTAACTCATTGGATAATTTTGCAATTAAAAAAAAATCTAGTTTATTTATTAACACATTTATTTTAAATAAATAGATTTAATTTAAATCCATTCTCCTGGAAGATGGCTTTTATTTTCAATATCTAATATTGAGATAGTTTTCAATATTATCCACTCTTAAGATAGGAATATTTCACAGCTTAATAGCGAGGTGGTATTATTAAAAAAACATCTTTAAGCCCTGGCCAGATGGCTCAGTTGGTTGGGTGTTGTCCCATACACCAAAAGGGTTGCAGGTTTGATTCCCGGTCACGGCACATTCCTAGGATGTGGGTTCGATCCCAGTTGGGGTTATGGGGGGGTGGGCAACCAATTGATGTTTCTCTCTCACTTTTCCTCTCTCTAAATATCAATAAATATATTCTCAGGTAAATGAAAAAAAGAAAAAGCACCTTTAATTTTGTAGTATCTAGTATTTAAACCATTTAACATAATTTCTAAATTTAAAAAAAGGTTTCATTGAGGTTCTAATATAGGGAAGCTGCAGAGGTGACGTAACTATAAAGAATCTGAATGTACCTGTGTAAAGCTTCAGATCCTGAATAATATAAAGCAAGACAATCTACCAGTCATGGGTCTATTCATCTATATTCATTACAAAATGCCTTTCATTTGGCCTGGCATACTTAGGATAATGAGTTTTAATGGAGTAGACAGCAATAATACTTGGAAAAGTGGTGGATAGAGAAATACAGGGAGTTACTAACTACAACCTGGGAACTAAGACTTTTTGTCTTTGAGCCCCACCCCACAGGAAAGTGCACTTAGAACATGGTCCAATGTTTTAATTCTAATTCAAGGGCTAAAAGTCAGGTTTAAAAGTCAATTCAAATCTGTCTAATTGCAGAGAGCGGGGCAGCAGAATGGAATAGTGTGGACTCAGGCCTATTAATGGGTACTGCTCTAGCTAAGTGGATCTTAAATGGTCTCATCCACGCCAAGAGGGCCTTCTTCCCTGGCTCCCCCAAGACCAACCTCATGCACCAGTGTTACAGGTTTAATTTTATTAGTCTTTTCATCCCTAAAGCAGTAGAGGGCATTGGAAGTACTTACCATCAGTACTTTATCCATATAGAATTCTCTGCCAGGGCTCCCATCATTGTATTTTGTATCAATGGCAAAACACAAGAATAACACATCCACTACCATTTCATAAATGGACAGGAAGCAATGAGCGACTAGGAAAGCAAAGAGGCAGACGATGATCAGAGGCAGCACCCATACTGTGTAATCTTGCTGGTAGTTGAGCAGCATAATCCCAGCCAAGCCCGTGCTGCAGACTATCAGCACCTGAGGCAGAGAGAACAAAGACCATATGTAATACCCTGAGGTAGAAACCACTATTTCGTCATCGTTGGCAGATGTAAAATTCTCTTTACTACTTATATGTGACGGTCACATGAGTCCTTTCCATCTCAAGTTAGAAATTAGAAAGTATAACCCCCATATACACACAGAGGTATAGATGTATATCATATAATATAAATTTAAAGAACCATCCTTGTTGACATTAAAAATAATCAAGTTTTCCAAATGTTATGCTTGTTTTCTAAAGCTTCCCTTATTTGGCACCTGTGGCAATTCTTAAGATAAATGTATGCCTTTTTTAGGGGGAAAAATTATGCACATTCTTAGCACTCAGAAGAAGAAAATTACCGACATTTCAGGGTACTGCTACAGATTTTTTTTCTAAGCATTTTTACATTTATGAAATAGTATTGTATAAACAAATCATTAAAAGCTCTTCCTTAATATTTATAGTAGCATTATGAATGTTTCATAAATACTTATTCAGTTACATAATTTCATTTTATGGGTGATTTAAAATTTATTTAACAACAAAAAAATAACATTTATTTAACCATTCTCCTATAGTTGGACATGTATATTGTTTTCAGATATAAATAATGCTGCAACAAACATCACTAAGAGCCTTTTCATTATTTCATATTTTATTTCAAATAGAATATGGGGCAAATTTAATATTATTTGCCATGAAGTTTATATTTCGATTATCTGTGAGAAAAAGGGTGCTAAAAACATCCATGAGAATAAAGGAAATAACCAATTTGATTCTTGTCAAGAACCACCTACTCTGATGCCTCATTACCTCATACTCAACACTTTACATTTTTTTGGTGTGTTTTAGTACATTTTATTTCAGTTGTTCATCAACCCTATGAATGGTTTATGGAAAACATTATCATCTCATTTTATAGACTGGGAAACATGCTAGCCAACCCACCCAAGGTCAGCAGATACCACTCCAATAATGGTCTTATGATGCCAACTTCAGGGCTCTTTCCAGGTAACTCTGAAAATATGTGGATACTGATACAAAGCAGGAATAAGTTATTTTGAATCTCAGACACATGCTTGCCCTTTACTGGCCTAGCATTAAGCCTTAACAAAGGAAGAATCCTCCAGAACTACCACGGCCTTCCCTTGTCCAGTGCTGAGGACAGTCAGGCCGAGAATTCCTCTTTCACCTCTTCTTTACTATTTATCAACAACAAAGCATCTTTCATTCACCACGAACTTAACCAGGAGTTATAATGCACTGGATAACATACTGGTTAAGCTGTACAGAGATCCTTCTATCGGATAACTTTAGGGAGCAAATCTGGGTCTGTCCAAGATTTGGAAAACAACTCCCCAACAAACACACACACACACACACACTCCATTTTTGTGGCCAACTCTTATGACACTGCTCTGCTAGTAACTTTTCTGAGGTGATTTCCACAGAGAGCTAATCACATTCACTTTCCACTCTTTTGGTTTCAATTTTAGAATGAGTTCTTTCTTATACTCTTATTCAAATTTTTTATGTCCACCCTATAGAAAGACTGAGATTCTTTGTGGTCTCATTATGCCACTAAAAGTTAAACCACATTCGGACTGTTAAGTTAGTTATAGGTAGAAGATGGGGCCCAGACAAACTTAGATGTTGAGAGAAAAAGCTGTTGAGGTGGAAGGTGAATATTGTCACGTGAGAAAAACCTTCGAGAATTATTAATATTTAGGCAAAGAAGTCAAAGGATGTACTAATTATTCCCAAATATAATGGAAGGGTGTCACGCATTTATTCAAGCAGAGAATACAGGGGTTTCAAACTATTAGAGGCAACTAGAAATCACTTGTAGAGTTGGTACATCCCCAAGTCTGATAGGTTGGATCTAAGTGCAGCAAAATGCTTTTTAAAAGTGCCCCATATCCTGGCCAGGTGGCTCAGTTGGTTGGAGTGTCGTCCTGTACACCAAAAGGTTGCAGTTCAATTCCAGGTCAGGGCATATTATCTAAGATGCGGGTTTGATCTCTGATAGGGTGCATATGGGAGACAACCAATCGATGTTTCTCTCTCACATTGATGTTTCTCTCTCTCTCTCTCTCTCTCTCTCTAAAAATCAATGAAAACATATCCTCGGGTGAGGATTAAAAAAAAGTGCCCCAGGTAATTCTGACACAGTCCACAGCCTATAAGAAGTACTGGTCTATATCAGTGATGGTGTAGCACATATACCCAAGGGAGTGTTCAAGAGAATCACCTGGGACTGCTAGTTGTATTTGTCATGTATTTAAAGTTTCTTTTATACTTTGCTGTATAATGTGTATATTAGCAAAAGCTAGACATATAACTCTATTTTAAAGGGGTTTACATATGGTATAGTAATGATGACAGCTAACATTTATTGAGAACTTATAATGTGTCAAGCAATGTCTTAGGTACTGGTACTAACCAATTTAATCCACACAACCCTAAGGTTTTGGCTTTATTATTATTATTATCCCAAATTTATAAATGAGCAAACTGAGGCATAGAGTGGTTATGTACCACTAGTACATGACAGCTAGTAAGTAAAAGAGGCAGAGTTTAAATCCAGGCAGTCAAGCTCCAGATGCAGTACCCCTAACCACTACACCGACTGTTACTTAATACTTCAAAACATTTAAGGAAAAACATAGACAAGTTACACTTAACCACCCCGGGCCTCAGTTTCCCCACCTATAAAATGATAATCCCAATGGATCTTCCTTTACAAATCTGTTGTGAGGATAAATGAGCACAATACATATACAAAGTACTTAGAAAGGTGCCTAGCACATATTAAGGCGTTTGTACGTGCTTGCTATACTAGTATATTAAGTTACTTTTAATTTTCTTTTGGTAGGCCAGATGTTTTTTGAAATTAGAGCAAATATATATATATATTTATATGCAAAAATTTACTGTACATCTCCGGTAATATACTTGCTCTTACCTTGCCTAGGAATAACATGAAATCCCCCACTGTGTTGATGGCAGCCACTCGCAAAGCATTCTCCACGAGAATGACAAAGGCGTCCTTCGCAGAGGTGCAGAAGTTGGTGCTGTTGATAGCTGTGGCTGTGTATGCATTCTGGGCAGAAGCAAAAACAATATTCTCATCAATAAATATAATCCTACTTTGTTAAGATATAATTAAACATAGCTTGTAACAATATTTCACTATTAAACCCATGGCTCTGGTGAGGTATACGAGTAAGATTCTGAAGCACAAGAAAATATGAGATATTAAAAAAAAAAAGCCTGATATGGTAAAAAGAACTTTTCAGTCGATTTAGTTTTGGTCCTTTAAAAACACTGAAATTTATGAAAACACAGACTACCTTTCCCATGTCCATAAACTTCTCCCTTGTCTGAGTAAATCAAACAGAATTTAACCTTGCCTAGATGTCTCAGGTCTGTCACTGTGAATACCCATGATGCATTAGTACCATTTCAGTGATGCTTTGGAAGCTACACAAATTGTAAAGGCATCAGATTGTGGTGCTGTCTAATCTGGAACGCCTACCACCTCCTCCTTGGTGCTTTCTTTTCTGCTGTCACTTCTCACAGCTCTTGTAGCAATCGCTGTTTGCTGCCCACTATTCTATACCCCTCCAATCTGGGAGCGGGGCCTGCACTCTCATTTGAGGAAACAGCCCTTCCCCACTGTCTTAGCATCTGAGTGGAGCTGACACCACCTTCAGCAGTGGCGATGGGCAAGGATGGGTTCAGAAACTGGCATATAAACAAACCAGGGCCCCTGGAAGTAAATGACATCCCCTGGGGCTTCTGGGAGAAAGAAGTTTCCTTCTTCATCCATAGGTGATCCCTACAGAGCAGCTCTCTCCTTTTCCTGGATGAGGAGCTCTGAGGGTACGAATTGCCATGGATGTTTTGCCAACATAATGGGAAGAGCCTAGAGCTGCTGGAGGTCACAGTGTGAAACCGAGGGTGAGGCGAACACCACGGAAGTCAGAGCAGAGAGAAATCAGGTCCCTGCACTTGGTGACAATATTTGACATCATTAGGAACTAGCCAGATTTCTGGGCTTTTCAGTTGCAGAAGCTCATACATTGTTAAGGATCTCTACCCTCTCCTGCCACTCCCTCCCCCTTTCTCACTCTCTCTCTCTCTTTTTTAGGTCAGACTGAGCTGGCTTTCCGGCCCTTATAGCACTGAGTCCCAGATGACAGAGTTTTATTCAATTATACCTGCATCTGCTGCCCCGTGTCCTCTTTGACCTACTAGTCACAGACTGATTTCCTCCCTTCTTTTTTACATTTTAGAAGAGCATTGACATTTTCTGGGAAATGTGAATAAGTACTAGAACATCAAATATGTCTGAGCCTTAGGAAAGTATATGAATTTTGTGATGAAAATGTTTGGTCCTGAGGAATTGTTGGTTTAGTGCCAACTCAAGAAATCACTGGTGGGTCCCAAATGTTCAAGTGGCTGGGAGACGGCAGGAAGGGCTGACTACACCAAGCATGTCCAACTTGTGGCCCGTGGGCCGCATGCCTCGTTTATTTGGCCCGTGTTAGCCTTTGAATTTGACATGCTTGCTCTACACTGTGCTGTCTATAAAGGTTCAACACTGAGCTAGGGAAAGACAGTCTTTAATTTCTGAATGTTCCAACTGAATGCTTGTTAGTTAGTCGGAACCTGGTATGGAGATGAGGTTTGACTCATCAAAAATTTAATTTGCCATTATATGATTAGATTCACTGATTAAAAATGCAGAGCATTTGAGGGCCAAGGAAAGAGTACTGGACAGCGTAGAGGCTACTTAAGGTTCAGACACTTTTTTCAGAAATGGAGCAATAGGAAATTACCATGCTTTTTTTGAGAAACACAGTATGATTTTAACATATGAAATTCCATCACACAGATTGGGGTAATTTCTTCTCAGAATATATGACCATATTACGTTCGCAGGTCTTTTTGTCTCAAAAGCTAATATATACAGTATGTTAAAGAAATCATTCTGTTAAGTTTTTCTCAGCATTCATTTGCTGCTTACTCTCTTCTACTGTTATCTCACTGTTTTTCTTATCCGTTAAGAGATAGCAGGCACCAAAGAGTTAATTACCTAACTGCAGTGGCCCACATTTCTTCATTTTTACAAAGCTCCTTTTGAAACATTCTATCAAATACCTCCATGACATCAAAATAACCATACGTTTGATCTTGTGCAATAGTAACTCTGCTGAAAAACCATGGAGAACTGCCTTCGTCTGAACAATTCTCAAAAAAGCCAAACTAGCTCTCAGTTCTCACCAGTTCCCTATGTCCTCACTAAAAAGCACACCCACTTAGCAATTTATCCTAAAGCAGGGGTCCTCTAATGACTGCGTGTGGGCCAAATCTTGCCTGCTGCCTACTTTATAAATAACGTTTTATTGAAACATAGCCATGCTTATTTTTTTTTTTTGCTCTTTATTAGGGCTGTTTTCATGCCACAATGGCAGAACTGAGCCACTGTGAGAGACTATATGGTCCACAGCGCCAAAAATATTTACTCCAAGAGACCAACGAACCAGTTTTAGTTGTCCCTCGATATCTGCAGGGGTTCTGGTTCCAGGATAGCCAATGACACCAAATTCCGACCAGGCTCAAGTCCCTTAGTATTTGCATATAGCCTATGCACACATCCTCCTATATACTTTAAATCATCTCTAGATTACTTCTAATACCTAATACAATGTAAGTGCTATGTAAAGAGTTCTTTTACTGTATTGTTTAGGAACTAATGACAAGAAAAAAAAAAGTCTGTACATGTTCAGTACTTAATACAATGTAAGTGCTATGTAAAGAGTTGTTTTACTGTATTGTTTAGGAACTAATGACAAGGAAAAAAAAGTCTGTACATGTTCAGTACAGATGCAGCCACCACAGGACTAACCACATAGTACAGGTCAGCAACACCATAACACCCTTCCCCCCCATGTTTTCCATCCATGGCTGGTTAAATATGCAGATGTGAAACCTGTGGATACGGAACACACAGATATGTGAGGTCAACTGTATTCGATGGTTTTTCAGAGGAAAATCCCCTAGATCACATTAAATATATAGATTATGAGATGCTTCCTGAAGTATAAAAAGCATTATAATGTCTAGAATCAAGGTCACTGAACAATCCATTTAAATCCACTACTTACTGTCTTAAATCCCACCCCCTCAAGGACAGACAACTCTCTTAATTATGCGGTTCTCCCTGCTGCGGTTAGAGCACAACTTTCCTTGACAGGAGACAGAAGCAAGAGAGGAGCCACCACCTGAAGCTCTCTCCTGTCATCACCAGACCAGCTGCCTCCAGGAGCAGGCCCAACACCGACAGACAACTCTCTTAACTATGCGGTTCTCCCTGCTGCGGTTAGAGCACGACTTTCCTGGACAGGAGACAGAAGCAAGAGAGGAGCCACCACCTGCAAACTCTCTCCTGTTATCACCAGACCAGCTGCCTCCAGGAGCAGGCCCAACACCTCCAACGTAAACTATAAAAGCTTTCTTGTTGCCCTCCTTAGTGTTCAGGAGCGTCAGTTTACTTGAGAACTATTATTATTTCGCCTCTGCTGCTTCTTTCTTCTCTCCTGATGCTGCCCCACCCATCCCATCTACTTTTATTTAGAGCAGAAGCCCTTCTATTTGTAGACATGGAAGGAGGCAGCGATTTCCTTTCTTTACTTCTCAACTCCAGGGTTGGATGGGCTCATAGACATTTCCTGGCAATCTTCCTATAGATCTGTGCGTGCAACCTGAGGGGACATTTTATGAGCTTCCTCCCACTGCCAAGGCAGTTAGATGAGCTGCATGTGATCCACACAAGTCAAGATGATCTCTTCAGAAAGAAAAATGTGCTACCGACCACAGCAGGTCAATAACACTTCTCTCTGCTTCTGTACCTCCTAGTCTAAAAGGAGTCGTGCGAAGGCTCTCAAGAAACCCAGAGTCCTTTGCAGCTTCCCCTGACAGCCTTCTTGATCTGGGCTATCCCGCACAGAGGGGCATCACTGATTAACATTTTGCTCCTGCCCAACCTCTGCTCAGGCAGGACAGAGGCCTCAAACTAATTAACTCCCAGCGCAAGGTAAAAGCTGATCACCCTCCAGCCCTCTGCTCAGGCAGGACAGAGGCCTCAAACTAACTCCCAGCGCAAGGTAAAAGCTGATCACCCTCCAGGGATCTTTCTACAAGGATGCCTATTAGCCCACGTGGTCACTGGTAGCATTCCTGTGTGACAGGATACAGTGGAAGCAGTGACCATGTGGAAGGAATACGTTAGGACAGAGGTCACCATGCAGGTAACTCAGACCTGTGTGGCCATCTGTCCCAGAGCACAGCTTCCACAGTCTCACACCTTCTTTCTTTTCTTCACTTAATTCTCTAGAAATTCTCTTAAAGTTTAAAATCTTACATAATAACACGTGATAAGGGCAGGCTAGTCGGCAATGGTAGGAAAAGGTAAACAGGATGTGTGCACCTTTATGTGTGGGTCATTATAAATGAAATAAGGGAAAAGGCAATTAAAATGATCCCTTTCTTATTTAGAGTGAGGGATGAAAGGGGCACAAAGTCAAACTTAAACAATAGATTTCATTCAGTTGGGTTGTAAGTTTTTAGACTTTTTAGGGGTCACCAAAATTAAGCTGATGTTGCAAGTATTAATTAAAATAGATTGGCTTTAAAACCACTTGTCTTAGCTTACAGCATGATACATGAAAATGTGAGACGTTTACTTATTCTCTATAATAAACTATAATTTAGTGTTCTTTATATTGCACAAAACGTGTATATATTTATACAAGAGGCAGTGTAATATTAAGGGAAGAGCTGAGTGAACTTAGATTTGAAAACTTCCTTCACCTCTAGCTTATGTGATTATTTGTCATGAGATGCCCAGTCTCAATTTTGTCTTCTAAAAAACAGGGGAAAGGAGTTGTGGAAAGTGATAATATACATAAAGTGCTTAGTATAGTATCAGCTAGTGGTGCTCAAAAATATTCTGAACTTCCACGCATGCCATATAGAGAACAGCTTTATAATCTGAAGAGCTTATGAGCCAGAGAGCAGACGCTCTCCAGTGTGAAATGTACTACCTTCAAATGGTGCCAGATAAACCAAGGCCTGCGTAATCCAATGCCTAAGAGAAACAGATCCTGGGTGTAACAATCTCTCTACCTAAAGTGAATCCTACCTGTTACATTAGATATATAATCACCTTCATGTCCCATTAAGATAAGCACCTACAAAAACAAAGAGTGGCTGGCTCACAGTTCACGGTTTATTTGTAAAACTCACACCTCTGCTGCAAATACTAAATGGGTCATTTAAAATATCTAAAGCTCTTTTTTGAAGCCAACTGTATTTCCCCTGCGGTGTGGCAGTGGAGCATGGTTTAGGGATTAGGAATCTCCTATTGTGCTGCAAAATGACTCCGGCCTACTCTTCCTCCATATCAACACTCTTCTTTACTATGATCCCCTAAATTCTTTAAAGCAGAGGCAACAAACTGGTGGCCCATGGACAACTGACATTGTGTGTCCTAAAGACCTACTTGCTCTGGCCCACTCAGAATTCTGTTATTTTAAAGAATTAAAGAACCATGGCTAGAGAGGAGAAATTCTTAGGGAAAATCAAAGATAAAAGGATGCATATTAAGGCATAAGAAATAAATGTCTTTCCCAAGATAGGAATCCTAATATTTTATCCATGTATCACATGTATCACAATTAATAATGAGCCTTGGTAAGTACGTATGCTACTTTTAAAAATAAGAATATGATTGAAATAGAGATACTTGATCAAGGCACAATGTACACACCATGAGAAAACCAACACCTTTCAAGTAAGCTCAATCCTTTTATCTTGGAAGAAGAAAAGACAAACCTATCTTTGAAAGTGAATCTTAGAATGATTTTTAAAACATTTTACCTGATTTAAATAATTGAGGCACTTTTCAAGACACCAAAGGCAACAAATGCAAGATTTCAACATACATCGAGCACAGGCATTTTCCTGGAAAGGAGGAAAAGTTGAAATAATTGTTGAAAACTCAAAGAATTACACCATCATCAAGAATACTCCAAATGTTAGAAAAATAAGAAATTTTAAAAGCACAAACTATGCTTCCAAGCTTCCATACCCACCCCTCTTTCCACTTAAAATGTACTGACTGAATTATTTTTAATCAGTTCAAGATTTATTTAGTACCTATTGTATATAAGATATAGTGAGGTATAGAAGACCAGCAAGGAACTTACAATCTAGGAGGAGGAAAAAAAATGCTAAACACACAAAAAGATTAGAATCAAAATCTGACATAGGTACTAGTGCTATGAGAGTGGAGAACAGAGAGAGAGACATTTGTGCGATGGGAGGAATCAGGGGAGGTTTCTCGGAAGAGGTGTTATTTGAGCTAAGCCATGTTGATATGCATATTATTTCCACTATCGAGGAGAGGGAAGAGGTTCTAAGGAGGAAGGTGGTGAGTTAACACAGAGGAAGAGACACTTTTGGAAACCAGTGCTGAGATGGATTTTGCTTGAGCATATGGAGTGCAAGGGGGGTGGGGGCGAGGGAGGAAGGGCTGGGTTCCACTTTGTCAGGAATCTGAAGAAAACAATGGCAACTTTGGACATGACGTCATTGGGTGCAGGAGTGAGGTCTGGAATGTGCCCATGGAAGTCCAAAAACGTATTTTCCCCTTACCTTTCCTTTCAGCTGACTGTGAATGTACATAAGGATCATTCGTGGAATCTTGACTAATGTGATGATGAAAGATCCTTTGGCCACAGTACCAAGGTGATAACGGACAAGGCGATTCACTGATGCCAAAATAGGTGTAAATGGCAAATTCCTTTTATCCCTATTTTTAAAATGACCAAAAAGACAATTAAAACAGAGCCTAGGCCAGGAGGGAAACACAGGAAGGTTTGGAGTGAAAAACTGGTTCATTTTTCTTACTGTAGCTTTACGACAAAAATGTCAAAGTAATATAGTACAACTAATATAAATGCTACACGTGTACCATATAAAATTAATGTGTCATTTCTCTACAGTAGTGTCATGGGGTTCTTAAGCTCTAATATTTTAAGTTAAATACAACTGTGCCTTGAAAGCTCTTGGTAGTAAATACTTATGACATTAATTGTACAATCAGAAAATGGAACTTAAAAAGATGTTCAACCTGAACCTGGAACCTCATTACAACAGAAACGATAGGCCTACAACGGGTATTCAGCTCTGAAGTCAGGAAAGGGAGCCACACAATTGCTCTGATCCAAACAAATTAAAGAGGCTTGTTTTCCTTTGATGGACTTTCATATAAAGCCCAAGTACATAAGGCACTACCACAAGATTCATTCTTCTGTTAAATATAATTTCTGTTATATCAGGGCCTGCAGTTCTGATTCATTTTTTAGAAAGTTTTAGAAAAGTGCAAAGAATAAAATAGCAACCTCTTGTTTTCTTACTTCCCAGAAAGATCAACTATCACATTTTGTCATGTTCACTTCCAATCACTTCTTAAAGAAATGACATTCTGACAAGCTTCAGTTCCATTCCCTTCAGGCACAATTGCTTAGCTGATCTTAAGTTGTTGGACACGTATGAATTCTCACCTGGTAAAATAGTATGTCACCACCGCTCCCGCCACAGTCATCTGCTGACAGGCCAGAATGAATTCACTGATCCAAATCAGGCCCACCACATGGTACCACCACATGTACTGCAGAGGCCCCGAGACCCTGAATTCCACAAAGCCTTGGTCGTTCTTCACAGCGCTGCCTGGGAAAAGCAAGGAAGGGAAGAAGAATCACATAACGTCGAAACCACAAATATGGCTATTTAATTTAAGAGATTAATTTACTTTCCAAGAACAGGTACCTACACCCAAACCACAAACTTATAATCACAGTGCTATCTCATTAAGGGACAAAAATAATTATCAGTTGAAAAGTTGTGAAGCCAAATATTACCCAGTTAAGCATTTTGTTTTCCCCAAAGCCATGATATAGATATATAGCTTTTAAAATTTGTTCTGTTTGAATATATTTCTTACCACATTATCAGTTACTTAGTTTAAGCATGAATTTGCAAACAGCTCTTAAATTTTTTTCAGAGCTATTACTTGTCTAATAATGACAGACCTAAATTCTTAGCAAGGTTCAGAAATTCATATTCTATTCAATTGGTGAATGTGTGCTGAAAGGTCAGAGAAATTACATACAAGTGTACTAACCTTACACTGCTCCTCACAATGAATTCCATTTAGATGTAGCCTTTGATGTAAAGTATGGCTACAAGCAAATCTGAGAGTCTATGAACTGAATCATCGCTAGGAGCTTTAGCTAGGTTCTGATCATTTCCAAACTAGAAAATCCCAAGGAAGCAAGTTGAGCTTTAGCTCTAACTGAGTTTTAAGGCAATTCCACAGTGGCATTACATTCATTCTTTCATCTGAGAATGGATCCAAATGTCTGAGGGACTAGAGGAGTTTACTTCAAATCCATGACCATCTCAAAACCAGGATGCAATTACAGGCGTTACCTGGTTGACACCCACTTTGCTAGGATGATAAAGCTCATGATCAGAAAATGGGTTACTGAAGAATCACAGCCCCTGCTAGTTCCGGTGGCTATTAGAACTTAGTCAATCAATGTCTGAAGACTTATATCTCTTTGATGTTTTAAATATGTTAATGCGAATCAGATTCATCCCTAAGAGAAAGAAGCACATGTCTTCTTACCAGTAGTGCCAAGAAAAAGAAGTGTCATGATCCAGTACGCCCAAAACAGGACAAGGGCAAAGAAAGTCCAAAAGGGTTGGAAGACTAGCAGTGGCAAGTGAATGAAGACCTTGCCCGCCACGTGGAACAAGGCGATAGTGAGAGCAATGCGTTTGCGCATAAACAACATGATCAGGAACAAGATAACCTGTGTGGGGAGAATAGAGGGAAAGGGGTTAGTTACCATGTTAAACAGCAAAAACTGAAACTGGACAATGGTGGAAATTTTTACTGTAACACCTTCATTCTAAAACGTGGAAGTTCCATTCTCTGAATCCCAGGAATACTTTATCGGTCTGTATCTCTCTTGCAGCACTTACCATTTTCAACGGTATATTGAGAATGTCCTTTAAAGCTAAATAAAAGGACTTCTCAATTTCTTATTAAATCCTAGAATTTGTCTCACTTTTCCTTTTGCCACTCATTACCAATCAAAATGTGTGGTTTGTCAGGTAGGATGAAACACCTCCTTTATTTGAATATATCTGTGCTTGTCACTTTGAAAAATAGGGGAGCAGCCATGGCTGGTTTTGTTCAGTGGTTAGAGTGTCAGCCTGTGGACTGAAGGGTCGCAGGTTTGATTCCAGTCAAGGGTACTTTGGTTGAAGGCTCGATCCACAGTGCTTGTCGGGGTGTGTACAGGAGGCAACCAATCGAAGTGTCTCACTTTGATGTCTGTCTGTCTCTCCCCCTCCCTTCCATTCTCTCTAAAAAATCAATGAAAAAAATATCCTTGAGTGAGGATTAACAACAACAACAACAAAACAACAAAACAAAGAAAAATAGAGGAGCGGACCACATGCCATGAGCACAGGAGCACTGGGGGTATCTGGGCCTTGTCTCCCACTTAAGGCAAAAGCTCCTTAAGAACAGGGCCCATGCCAGATTCACACTTTGTTCACCAGCCTCTATCCTCCTGCCCTGGAATAGATAATTGAGCTTGAAGATGATTAATAAATATTTGTATAATAATAACAAACATATATTTTTCCACCAGTGGCTTTATTTTTTTGTTTCTAATGCTCAATATAAAGCTTGGGCCCAGCCAGGGTGGCTCAGCAGTTGAGCATCGACCCAGGAACCAAGAGGTCACCAGTTCGAATCCCAGTCAGGGCATATGCCTGGGTTGCGGGCTTGATCTCCAGTAGGGGGCATGCAGAAGATAGACAATCAATGATGTTTCTCTCTATCTCTCTCCCTTCCTCTCTTGCTAAAAATCAATTTAAAAATATGTTTTTTTTTAAAAAAGCTTAGGATTATACCTAGAAGTGGAGGGAAATGTCTTTTTTCTTTTTTTTCAGAGAGGAGAAGGAGATGAACCAAAGATATGCACATAGATGATTTAACCCCATGTTAATTAGCAATTTTACTGTACAGGTGCTAGGTAGCAGAGCTCACCTATATTTTTTGAAATAATGTTGTTAAAAGAAAAATTTACAAGGAAAAATGGGAAATAATTAGTAAACAAATAAATGAAATGACAAGGTGACATTTCTTATCATACTTTTTAAAAAAAATATTTTATTGATTTTTTACACAGAGGAAAGGAGAAGGATAGAGTTAGAAACATCGATGAGAGAGAAGCATCGATCAGCTGCCTCCTGCACACCTCCTACTGGGGATGTGCCCGCAACCAAGGTACATGCCCTTGACTGGACTTGAACCTGGGACCTTTCAGTCCACAGGCCGACGCTCTATCCACTGAGCCAAACCAGTTAGGGCTTATCATACTTTTTTATAGTAAAAAAGAAAGTCTTTTTTAAAAAGTAACTACATTACCTTGTGACAATAAGAAATATGTTCTGCCCTAACTGGTTTGGCTCAATGGATAGAGCGTCGGCCTGCGGACTCAAGGGTCCCAGGTTCGATTCCAGTCAAGGGCATGTAACTTGGTTGCGGGCACATACTCAGTAGGGAGTGTGCAGGAGGCAGCTGATCGATGTTTCTAACTCTCTATCCCTCTCCCTTCCTCTCTGTAAAAAAATCAATAAAATATATTTTAAAAAGAAAGAAATATGTTCTACTAGTAAATATTCTAGGTGAAAATCCTCTCAAAAAGCAGGCTATGCAGAGCAAAATATTGCATCAGTAGCACTCATCAATTAGGGAAGCCAGCTGTGGGACAGAGATTTTATCTAATGAAGATCAAGGTTAGGCATGCCATAGCTAGAGGTGAGTTTCTCCTCCGTTAATGATCTCCTGTAAATAAAAGCATAAACCTGAACGTATACTCACCGTGAACACTGTAGCTGAAATGGCATAGATGAGGAGGGCCCGAAGATTGTCTTCAGCTATCTGGAGCTGCTCAGGAATAATTGTTTCTTTGGGAGACTTTCTTTGTTTTGCATATAGCCACCATAGTACACCTGTGCCACCTGGAGACAAAAAAATAATTGTTTTTGCAATAATTAGCACCTGAAAATGTGTTGACAAATCCTCAATTTTCTGGATCCTTCCTACGTATCATCATGAGACTAGTGCAGCAGCAATCCACTTGGCTGGGAGGCGCATGGCTATAACTTTTTTGCCAGTGTAAGGGGAGCTCTAATTATTCCACTACCACCTTCCATAGACACTCATAGACACTCACTAATCTTTCAGTACATCAAATACACTTCCTTCAACTGTACTGATTACTGACTTTGAAGCTGAGATAGATAGATACCCCAAGAGGAGCTGGTTACAAAGAGAGCCTCAGCATCGGTTTAAGCTAGAGATCCTGGAGGGAGCAAGTAAGGGTCATAGAAATCAGCAACGAAGCAGAGAAAGACAAAGGTCTCTGCGTACACATCAGTCACCCTAGCACTGAATGCCGACAGTCATGCAGCGGATGAAATATTTGTACAATGAATAAATGAAGATCAAAAGAGTAGTTCCCACCAAAGGTGAAAACAAAGGCAGAAAATCTTTGATAGTGGTGGGTGCTAGGGATGGGAACTTTTATCTCTACTGCTGGTTCAAAGATTCAGAGAACTGGACTGAAGACAGAGGCAAACCCTTCATTTAATCCATTCAGCAAATATTTTGAGTGTCTAACAGCATCTCCTGTTTTAGGGGTTGGGGATAGAGCAGTAAACAAAGCCAAGTCCCTACCCTCACCCCTCATGAAGCTTCATACATAGCAATGGGGAAACATAAAAATAGGGGGGAACGTAAAAACAAAGCATATAAAGTCTAAGAACAAAGTCATCTAGTAAGAGGGACAGAAAGTGCTGGCATTGGGAAAGCACTGTAATTTTATATAAGATGGGTAAGCAAGGCCTCACCGGTGATGGATTTGAGCAAAAGAAAAACAGGAAGAGAAAAATCTATGAAACTAAGAAAAGAGTGTCCTAGGCAAGAGGTAAATTCTAAAAAGGAAGATATAGCATGTAAAAATTAAAAGTTTTATTTTCTTCTCTATATTTCTATTTTCTACCACGGAAGTAGTTAGATACCATGAGTAGTTATCACATTTATAAGTGGGAAGGGGAAATTAAAAAAAAAAAGACAATAAACACAGAAGGCCCAGAAAGTTTCATTACAAACAGTAAACAAAATAGAATGTCAATAGACAGAAAAATGATAATGAAATTTTAAACACACACACACACACACTCTTATTCTGCCAGAAACACTTTTCAAACAGAAAGAACTTCAACAACTTACAATGGCTGATTCAGGCCTTACAAAGTGCCAGATAAAAGAAAAGGATTCCTTTACTTGCTTGGCAGAGAACATTGCAAGAATCAAGTGAAAATTAAAGAGCCAGAAGCCAAACAGAGCCTCGATTGCTGTCTTTTCTCTTGGGTTCTTCCCCCCAAATTAAAAAAAAAAAAGTTAGCTCCTTTAAAAAATAATCTCCATTTGCCAATGACCTCACCTTTTTATTTGATTTATTGATCTCAGCATGACCTAACTTCAATGTCATCCACTTATCAGTTTAAATTAATGCAAAGCAGAAATTTTTTTTTAATACTCAAAGTAGTTCCAAACTGAGGCAGTGTCAGAAGCAAGCTTTAATTCTCAGTTCTAATTACTGAAAAACAAAGAAGTAAGCAGCTTACCAAGTGACCCCAGTATGACCAGAATTGTCACGATCCACACAAGTACTCTTGATATATACCTGATTATCACCATCAAAATCATGGATAGAACTGCAGGGAAGATAAATAGAAAACATGTAGAATATTATTTGGAAAACACTGGAAAATATAAAGATAAATTCTTTCAGTTGTTTTCTCCCATGGAAATAATTTGTTGCTATTGACAAGTTCATGATCCCAATTTAGGTAACAAAGGAAACAGGTTGCTTTTGCACTCTGACTTTGGTACTTGTGCCACTTGAAACCAAAGGCACCTAACGTGGGTGTATAAACACAGAAAAGGATACATGCAAATGCACATGGTGACTCGAAAACAGCATAGAACTGTTGTGGATTCACCACAGAAAGGCATCAGAACTCACATGCAAACACACATGCCAACACACAAAGTGCAGAGAATGACATGTTATGTTGGGTGACCAGAAAAATTCTCACACATAGAGAGAGAGAGCATTTAAATTAGGTGCTACACTTCCTTGAGTAATTTATGCATTTTAGGACCAATTTCTCTGATGGTTGGTCAATAAACTAGATGGTATTTTATCTTTTTTCTGGTTGTTTCTCCTCTGAAATTCTAAGAGATGGTCTGACCCTATGGGATAATATCCTGAAGCCTACTGAAGCCCAAATTCCTCTGGCCTCAAAGTTTGAGTTATTCAGTCAACCCTTCTACCCATCCTCAGCTAAATTCCAACATGCTAAAATATTGAGTGAAAAATCTCAAAAAAGAAAGTGGGGGGATTTAACCCATTTTATGGGGAAATTTGTTGTTGAAATCTTAATTTGTACACCTTTTAATTATCTAAAGGCCCACTTCACAAACAAATGGACAAAGACCTTAAGCCTCATAAGAGAACCACTCTAAGAAAAAGCTGGAATTCCAATGACTTAACATTATCATCACTATTTTTAAGGTTTAAATTTTTTTCTTGGTAAAGTATTCAACTATTTCAGAAACCAAATAATTTTTATATAAAACCAGGCTAATAGTCAAGCTTTTATGGGCCATTCACAAAGCCAAAAAAATTAAGATCTGTGACTAGGTAACATTATTAGGGTACTCACTTTTGCAATAAGTGTACAGGAACTAAAAACAGATGGGAGCATTTCAAATATCATAGAAATAGCTTTTCATATGGACAGCCTTTTTTCAACTGAGACAAGTACTACACCTAAGCAAAAAGAAAAGACTCTCTAATGACAAGACGGAAATACAGCTAGTCTTCCAGGTGACTACCAGTATACTTGTTAACAGGCATAAATATCGTTTTACGTAAAAAATGAAATGGTCGTTTGGTTCCTACCAGTTTCCTTCTCCCTTATTAAAAAAGTCTATAAATTCTAATATGGCTACATATAGTTCTGCGATAATATAGGGTGTTTACATCTTGAAAATAACAGTTTTATTTGATTCTATTGTCTACTTATTGATGAGAAAACTCAATGGCTAACAAGTGGAGATTTTCTAATTTTCCCAGCAATAGAGTGATATTATGACCTGTTGCATGGGGTGTGGGGAGGGCTAAATACTTCAAAAGTAATCAATCAGAAATCTATGTTCTTTGAGGGAAATATATATATAAAAATATGTGGCCTCTTTTTATAAGCGAATAAACCAAAGATTAGATTCATAACTAAAAACAAAGGGGCATTGATTTGTTAAAAGTAGCCTCCTGCTATAATGTTAAAGGTTATTATAGACTTAGTAACCAAAGTTTGGAGAAAACACTAGTTTTCTCCAATGAGAGGAAAAGAACAGAAATGAGTTTCAGATATATATAACTATATATAATCTGAAACAGTTATTTTGGCTATGGGAAGTGAAACATTTTACAAGTATCCCCAGTTGTATTCATATTTTTGGTTAAAAGACAAAACAGTCTTCTGCTGCAGTACTATGCAATAGCTAATAATGAGAAAAACAATTACCTAGTGATAACAAGCAAAGTCCCAATATAATTTCTTTGCTGGCCATTACTCCACTAATCAGCCTGTGTAAGACACTATTGTCACTGACAAAGGTGATCAGGGCCTCTGCAAACTTGGCATAGCAGGAAATGTTCACAGGAGCACAGCGATGGAAGAATGGAATAGGTGCACTGGTGACACAAGAAAAAAAAATCAGAAAAAAAATTACTCCTACTTAATATAAATGCCACATCAAACACACAAATGAAAGGTGAATGTGACTGCAATACACTCCACCCTCCACACGTCATATGGGAGCTAAGAGCTGTGAGCTTAATGCTGTGAAGATGACTGTCATGGGCAGTGATGCAACTCTTACCACAAACCTTATCAAAGAGGGTGGAGTGCATGTTCCAACAGAAGACATTACCCTCCCCTTCTGAAAAGAAACACACACACACATATACACACACATACACACAGATACAACCTAAAGAAGCAAACCCAAACACTTGAACTCCTCAGCCTACACATCTATCAATCAAGGGGCAGATGACAAAACTTACAAACGTATCCTTAATTGAAGTGAAAATGAATTTTTGCCATAAGCTATTTAAAAATAAAAACACACCTGGGCTTTTGCTTGAAATGTGCCCCCGTTAATGGAATGGTCTCCTCTATCAGAACGACATACAAAACCTTAGATTTAAAAAGATGTTTGGGCACAAGCTTAGGAACTCCTGTAAACTAAGTCATACTGAGGCATGTGTATGACTTAATCAGCATAATCTGCAGCTATGTAAAACAATAACCATGAATACTGATGTATGGAAATAAGGATGATGTAAGAGCACAAGGGGGAAATATAACCAAAAATATATATCTAATGTGATGATGGCATCTCTGTATAAAAGATATATACATATGAATCAGGACAAAAAAATATAAGCAAATGAAAAATCTCTACTTGGTAGTATTATGGGATTTGGGGTTATTTGCTTTCTTTTTATATGTTTTTACTTTAAGATTATTAGTGTCCAAAAATGAGGTAATCTGCTGCTTCAGGCTTGTATGGACTGCATTTTACTTGTGAAGGAACATAGCTATGTGTGCACCATGACATTAATCAGGTTTATTAACATGGTTCTACTTTACCTTCTGAGAGGATGGTATACATCTAATCACTAAGAGATTTTAAACAAAGCGCTATGAACATGCCCTCAGCTGAGATTTCTTTGGATTCTAAGACAGCTCTATGTGTGTACCAATGCAAGAATACACACTTACGTGTGCATTAAGTTAAATTTTAGCCATTGCTAATGTAAATCCCACATCTTCAGAATTATTTGTAGGACTGTTAGTCACAGTTCTAATATACCATTTTGACTAGAATGATATAATTATGTTCTTATTCTTGGTTGGCACTGTATGTGGGTCAAATCAGTAGATAAGATTACATGGTTGAGCATCAGATTCTAAGGTTTCTAATCTCAGCAAAGCAACTTTGTATGACCACAAGCAAAGTACTATCCTGGTTTCCTTCCTCAAATGTTGATCAATAAGCACCACTGGGAGTGAGAATAAGCAATGTCTTCCATACTGGTAAACCTCATGGAACAATAAGACAATATAACTTTAGAGATCTTGCCTTACCTTAGTTATGCTTCAGTAAAATGTATCCCAAAATGATGTGACAATTTGACATGAATGTTTATTTGTAAAAATTTGCCTCTTGTGATCAATGGGTGTATCTGTGTATATCTCTAAAATGGTGTTAGTAAAATAGTTTTAGTGAAAGTTGATACCAAAGATTTGATATTTTGGCAGAAACTGCAGAAAGCTGAAGCATTCTGAGTAATGCCTGTATTAAGGGTATGCAAATCATAGTTTTTTTTTTCACTAAAAGTTGTTTCACTAATGATATACAAAGATATTAAATTACAGAATACTTTTAAATGAGCTGGACTTAGACATATTATAAGAAAAAAGATAAAATAGGATTAACTATAAATTCCTAAGCCAATAGAGCAGTGGTTCTCAACCTTCCTAATGCTGCGACCCTTTAATACAGTTCCTCATGTTGTGGTGACCCCCAACCAAAAAATTATTTTCGTTGCTACTTCATAACTGTAATTTCACTACTGTTATGAATCGTAATGTAAATATCTGATCTGCAGGATTTATTTTCATTATTACAAATTGAACATAATTAAAGCATAGTGATTAATCACAAAACAATATGTAATTATATGTGTTTTCCGATGGTCTTAGGTGACCCCTGTGAAAGGGTCGTTCGACCCCCAAAGGGGTCTCGACCCACAGGTTGAGAACCGCTTCAATAGAGGCTGATTTAGGGGAAAGAAACCTTTAAACTGGTAACTTTGTTGGGACCTACAACTGTTTTTCATTTTTGTGTGTATGTGCATGGTTGTTTTTTCCTGATGCTGTCTAGATACTGTTACTACCAGGTTAATGTCCGCATCTAAGGAAGTCTAACCCTATGTTTAACTAGGCGTGGTTCTCTAGCCTTCAAAACTAAAGTCCTCTTGGGTCCATGATTATATACATCTTCACTTGCCTTATTACCCCATTATTTCTGATGCAGCCTCTGTTTAACTCACTTGCCTCCAACCTTAAACATAAAATAGATCTATCTTAAGGGTACTACCGATGTCTTTTTCTCATACTTAATCCCACCAATTTGTTGGCCCTGCTTTCCTGTTTCCCTTTTCCTGTCAGATAACCATAGTGAACTTGATCCCCTGGCCAGAGATGGCTATGCCTACAGCTCCCATATCCTAACAGGATGTTTGTTTGTTTTTTAAAATATTTTTATCGATTTCAGAGAGGGAGAGGGAGAAAGAGATAGAAACATCAATGATGAGAATCACTGATTGGCTGCCTCCTGCCCCCTACTGGGGATTGAGCCTACAACCCGGGCATGTGCCCTGGGCTGGAATCGAACTTGGGACCCCTTCAATCCGCAGGCTGACGCTCTATCTGCTGAGTCAAACCAGCTAGGGCCTAACAAGATGTTGATGTATTTTTATACTCAAAGAAACACACATCATTTCTAAAGAGAGTGAAGCCTGTGATAAAGGAAAGAAACCTGGACTTGGGTTCAAAAGCCCTGGGCGATTCTCCTAACATGACAGAGTTGCACATCACTCCACCCCTCTTTCTCAGTTTTTCCATCTGTGAGGTGAAAAGGTAGGAATAAGTCCTCTGTCTTTTCTGATATGAATAGTAATAACAATAATATTATGCCCACCCAGAAACGAATGAATGATTCTAAGTTCATAGAAGCAGCAAGCCCAGTATCTTTAGTATGTTTCTGCTTTTCAGACTTAGAATGAGAACCGATTATTTGAAAAGGGAAGGGTTCTTCTGTTAAAATTCAAATCCTTCATTTTTTAAAGAGGAAAGACTGAATACTATCTGCTCTGAACTTACCCTTTCTCGTCATTTTTATAATGTATATAAACACACGGCAACTGAAGAGGGTACTTTTACATGTATCCCTCAAAGAAATGAAGCACAATAACAATAGCCCTTGGCCTTATCATTCAATCTATGTCCGTTAAGGAAAAAAATCCTGACAGCTCTAAATTTGAAGGTTATAAAATTAGCACAAGCTGATTAACTACATTTTTTAGCTGACGGTCAAAATGGTCAAAATCTGCTCTCACTGGTACAGAGTAATAGAAATAGAAGGCAAAGAAGATAATATCTGGACAGAGTAGTAAGAAATGAAGTTAAACACAGCTTTAAAGTAAAAAGGATTAGATCCCTTTATATGTCATTCTTTTTTTCAACTCTTCCCCCCAAATAATTTCACCATCCATGAGTGAATGCTTAAATTGTTTCCTTATTTTAAAATCTATGTAATTGTGGCATTATGGTTTGTCTTATATTTTTCTATTTAAATCCCATGTGATCTAATGAATTTAGGATTAGATGAGTTAGCTGATTTCATCTACCTCTCAGAAAATAATAATTCTGAGAACCTAGTATATGAGACCATTTCTGCTTTAGTGACTAACCTACATGACATATTCTGTGCTTCTTAATTAAGAGGACAAGCATAAAGAATTATATTTGCAGTAAGTTTTACTACTTTTTGAAGCCCACAGAACATTGACTCTTTAAGAAGTTAATGTTGTTCCATTAGGAACTGTTGCTGTTTCACATTATTGAAACATTAGTGAACAAGAACAAAATTAATTTATAATGGGTCTTTTAAAGACTTTTAAAAAAATGATCCACTCATAGGAAAATTGTATCTTACCTTGGCAAACATACTGTCCATTTGCCTTTAAGCCCAGACTATCACAATTAATGAGCTCCCTCAAAGTATGCCTAATATCTCTTCACCATATGCCTTCAGAAGAGAAGACAGGTGTTGGTATCTCTCACAATTATTTTATTAAACTTCAGGTTATAAAACAAAAAACCAAAAGCCATAACTCATAGAGGCAGACAATAGACCAGTGGTTACCAGCGGGGAAGGGGTGTGGAGGGAGGGTGAAATGAGTAAAGGGGGTCAGTTATATGGTGACAGATGGAAACTAGACTTTGGTGGTGAGCATGATATGATATACACACAGATGTTGAATTATAATGTTGCACATCTGAAACTTATATAATGTTATAAGCCAATGTTACCTCAATTAAAAAAACAACCTCAGGTTATAAATAAACAATTACACCTGATTTCTAACTAAAAGGTTTATTTAAGAACGAAGAAAAAAATAGAGGATTCTGGCAATATCTCCAAAGCACAGAAAAGGTAGGAAAAGAGTAAGTCAAGAATCTAATGGCAATAAGCAATGGTTTTCATACATTTCATTTTATTTTTTTCTCTTCTCCCACTCCTGTAGTCTCTCTTTAAAATACAAACAACCCCC